GAGAGGCCTCCGGAGAGGGGGCGGTTTGGTGGCGTAGTGCCTAAAGCATCTGACCGCTAACCATAGGCTGGCGGTTCAAATCCCCCAGCCACTCCTCGGAAGGAAGACTGGGCAATCTACTTCCATAGAGATACCGCCTCTGAAACCCAAGGAAAGGTCCCTATAAATCAGATCGGATTCCATGGTAGTGAATCTGGAGAGGGAAGCAGGCCTCCTGCGCCCTCCCCTTTGTCAAGCTTGGGAGGCACTGGGCGCCGGGCCCTCCCGGGGCGAGCGAAGCTGTAGCCTGGGGAGTCAGACGAACCCGGCTGTTGAGCTTCTACTGTGTGGAGACCTTCTGTCTTCATTATTCCTGAGTCTGTACACCACCCGGGCCAAAAAAAGGGCACTCATCCCATTTTGCAGATGAGGCACAGAGAAATAATTGACTGAGTGAGCCCAAGACCTCTGGTATTTCGTCTGAACATTTAGTTTACTGGCCAGTTTACAAGGAGTCCCAGTGGCACAGTGGCCAAAACACTAGGCTACTAACTGAAAGGACCAGAGAAAGATATGGCAGTCTGCTTCTGTAAAGATTTACAGCCTCGGTAACCCTATGGGGCGGGGAAGTTCTGCTCTGTCCTACAGGGCCATTTAGAGTCAGACTGACTCCATGACAGTGGGTTTAGTTTAATTTTTGGCCAGGCTGTGCAGCCAGAGATTCCTTTTATGATCTGAACAAGTTTTGACTATTATCTCCAGAAAAATCCATATAATTTTGCATTCAGTATTGGAGCTCCGCTGATTCCTGAATTCAATCTAGGGTAAAATGCCTCCTACCTCCCACCCACCGCATCTCATGCCCCAGCAATTGGTGCTATGGTGATTCTGGGGGGGGGGTGTGTGAGGCAGGAGGATGGGGTGAAGATTCAGTTGGACCACGATTATGGCTGTAATTAAGTCTCCAAGTGGCGCAAGTAAGAGAGGATAGGGAGGGGGGAACACACAGAGATGGGCGGGGAAGTCTAGGGGGCAGGGGGCTGCTGTGCAGGGTTTTTCTGGGACTGGGGGGAGTGGCAGGGAGGGAACTGTCCCGGTCCCACCTACCTAGAACGGGTGGGAAGCACCACAGGGCAGGCGGAGTGCTTGCAGCGGAAGGCCAGCTGGCTCTGCTGGAATGTTCTGGGGCCTGGTCCTCTCCAGACATTCCAGGAGCCAGCTCCAGCGTCCTCGGTGCCTCCTCTCTTCCCAGTCCCATATCAAGCCCTTGCTTCAGCCTGCGTGGCACTGCACTCAAACCCTACTTCTTTCCTCTTTACTGAGTAGCTTTAAAAACTTGTACTAGTTCAAGGGCGGCTGGCTCCTTGTTTGTTTTCAGTTTAGGAAACAGACACTCTCTTAAGCTCCTGATTCTCATCCCTTTCAGCCTGATTAACCAAATTTCTTGACTTTGTTTCTCAATATTTAAAATAACTGGTGAAGACTGAGAAGCTCTGGTGGTGCAGTGATTAAAGCATTTGTCTGCTAACTAAAAGGTCAGCAGTTTGAACACACCAGCCACTCCCAGGAAGAAAGATGAGGTAGTCTGCTTTCTTAAAGATTTACAACCTTACAGATTTTCTTCCTTAAAGATTTACGCTATGGAGGCAGTTCTACCCTGTACTCTGGGGCCACTATGAGTTGGCATCGACTGGACGGCAGTGGGTTTGATAAAAACTAATGATTCAATCTCCTTACTCCCACCCTCACTATAAAATCAATGTTGGTGGTGGTGTTGAGTGTGGTCAGTTGATTCTGACTCAAAGCTGTCCCGTGTGACACAGCAGACCTGCCCATAGGGTTTCCTAGGCTGTAATCTTTCTGAGAGCGCATCGCAGGTCTTTTGCCCTTAGAGCAGCAATAAAAAAGATAAAAGCTGAGCCTCCTGCCAGCGTCTGTGCTCAGGGCCCTCGTGGGGGTTTGCCATTTGCAACGCAAAACTCAGAGTAGAAGCACTGAAATACCTGCTTGCAGAGGCTGAAACGTAGCTAAGAGAGGAAGATGCCGAAAAAGCCAGAAGGATTTTTTATTTTTATTTTTTTAAAGTGCAGGGTCCTGTCTCAGGAGCGTTGCCCCTAACGACAGGTGCAAAACCAGAAGGGGTGCCCGGGATTAAAACAAAACAAAAAAGCGAACCCACTGGTTGGGAGTGAAGTTTCTGAGGCATCAGAGCAGAGGCCAACCTAGGACCAAGGTGCTCATCCGCCCACAGCTCTCCTCCACACCCTAGACACCTCTCCCAGGCCCGGGGGTCATCAAAAAAAAAAAAAAAAGCAACAACAACAACAAAGCAGGAATAATAGTGCCTTTCCACTCACTGCTCAGGGCTACAGTGCAGAATTCAGACTCACTTATAATGTATGTTAAAAAAAAAAAAAAAAAAAAAAACCACTTGGATAAGTATAACCACTACGCAAAAGGTAAAACTCACGGGTGTCATTAGTCGGTGCCAAGGCAGAAAGTCACGAGCGGTCTGCGTGACCTTTTGTCCGGGGTCTGAGGGCTTCTTGAAGCCGTCACGTTCTCGCGTCCGCTCCCCAAGGACCCTCGGAGACGCCGAAAGAAATAAGCAAGACTGTTTATTCTGCGTCCTTCACGTAGCCTCGCGAGCAACACCCGCACGAAAGGAAATACCAGAGCCTGCTTACTAGAGAACTTCCCAGCGTTGCCAAAAGCAGGCGAATACCTGCGCGTGCCGCCGTGCGCGTTAGTTTCACAGGAATTCCTAGGTTGCCTTTGTTCCCACCTTTCGGAGCTTTGTTAACTTCTAACTTCTTGACTGGCTCGGAGAAAAATCGCAGCGAACCAGTTTAGCAATTTCCTTCCTTCAACAAATATATATTGTTTATAGGTATAACTAGAATTGTGTCTATGTGGTTTTAAATTTAGTTTAAGAAATAAAAGGCAGTGTTGAGTTAGGGCACCACTTCTCTCAGTATGAGGGAAATTTAACTTTGTTGTTAAACATCCTGTGAGGGATAGCTGAAGGAGATGATAAAAAAATATTATTTTCATTTAATAAACACACGGGATTACGCTCTTAAAAGAAAGTCATGTATTTAAAAGCTTACGTTTGAAAACATCCTCAGACTGAAAGTACTGTATCTAAATCTCTTAATGGTGTGTATATCCGTTCTCCCCAAAATTAAGTGTAATGGTAATTGACAAATCAGAAAAATGCAGGGAGGGGGAGTGCGGAGTGACTTAGAGACCTAGTGAAGGCTAAGAGAGCTGCTTTGCACTTTCAGGATGAGCGGCCCTAGCAACCCAAATCCCAGCAGATCTGTTGCCCACTGACTATGTGCAAGGTGACTGTTGCTTTACTCGTGCAGGAGAAAGTAGGATGCCGCTGTGCGCCCCATTAGAGCGTCCTCTTGTCTGCGCTCACCTTGGGGTTAATGATTGACCGCAGCCTTTGGTGGTTATGTTAATAGCATGGACTTTCTACATTAGCCTTGTAGTCTATTACCTTCTTTTGTTGACAAAGCGTTTCATAAGGCTATATCTGTGCTGGTTTCCGGGTTCGCGAGATACATGGTGACTTCTCCCCTGCAGACGCGGTCCCCCTCGGATTTTGCCGCGGGGACCCCGACCCGGCTGCAGCGAAGGCCGCGCGGGCGGACTCTGGCGCAGCGGCAGGGAGGAGCGCAGGGATGCAGGAGGCGGAGGGCGCCTACCCGGCGCCTCTCGGCCAATCAGCGCGCACACCGCTAGCCAACCGGCCAATCAGCTACTCGGAGCGGAGGCCCAAGTGGATAATACTCTCTCGGAAGGGGAGCGGAGGCTGGGACTGCGGAGAGGGGCGCGGCGCCGCGCGGCAAGGACTGTGAGCGCTGCCCGCCCGGAAACCTGCGCTCGGAACCAGGCTGGGTCGGCCGACCCTTCCAGTCACCCTGGATCCGAGAAATCCGAAAGCAGCTCCCGCGAGGTGAAGCGCCCGGGCTTCAGAGGACCTATCGGAGCTTTGCAGGGCGGGGGTGTGCAGGCGAAGCTGGTGAGGACTTGACTCTGCACTCGCCCTCCCCTGGTCGGGGGCCTAGGACGTCCAGCTGTCAGCCCAGTAGCTCCCCACCCCCCAACTTCGGAGTGCGAGCACTGCCAGCAGCCTGCGAACCTGATCCCAGCGCTGGCTTGCTAGCCCCCGGCCTCCGAGTGCTGGTGAGTGCGGTGATGCCGCTGGGATATTGGGGTCGGGGGAGAAAGGGGCGTGGGTATTCGGTTCTGGTCTTTTGTCACCGTGGTCAGGACGACTTACCTTAATGATGCCGATCAAGCCCAGGGTACTCAGACTTTGCGCAGTTCAGCCCTGCGCGGCCTGAGTGTTGTAGGTGCCACACGCCGCTCGGGGCCCGGTGTTCTTCTGGCTTCAATGACAGCAGAACAATTTTGTTTTTTAGCTGATTATCCGGGGTGGAGGGATGAAAGGCCCTCCCAGAACTCAAGGAGGAGGCCTGGTGCTGGTGTAGGGAGATGAGAACCATTGGGAAGGGCAGGGTGGTGCTCTCTGCGAATGGTCTTTTGTAATCGAAGATAATGATTCCATCGACATTTTTATATCCGTCATGCCATTGTAGTTGGCCTGGGCAACACTGACAAGTGGTCTGTATGTCTCCAAGTGCGGGGGACTAGGTGGCCTAGTTGGACACAAGACTTTGGCGGGTGTATGTGTGATCAGTTAGTCCCTAGACAAGACCTAGAGACTTCTCCAGAAAGCGTGCGTGTGGCGAGAGGGTAACGGTTCAAAAGCGCTCACCGAGCACTTGTAATTAATAGAACAAAAACTTGGTTGAGTTTCGGGATCTCGGCAGAGCCCTAAAGAGACGAAAGAGGCACTTGGGGACTGACAGTGGGTGATCGGTGTAGAACGATGGTACTTCTTGCGCCGAGGCGGCGAGCCGCCGCGCTGGGACAGTCCTGACGGCGGCAGTAGGTTTCGGGGTGTCTTTGTCTCCCCAGAGCGCAGGCCGAGGAGGCGCCGTGCCATGGCCGAGCGGCAGGCGGGCCCGGCGTCCGGGGACTGGGAGATCGACGTGGAGAGCCTGGAGCTGGAGGAGGAGGGCGGCGGGGCTCCGCCGGCCGCCGGGGACGGAGAAGACGACGAGGAGGACGAAGAAGACGACGACGGCGACGCGGAGGAGGAGGGCGACGGCGAGGCTGCTGCAGGCTTGTGCCCAGGGGCACCGCGAGGGCCTGAGCTGCAGGGGGGACGGCCCAGGCTGCCTTCTGCGCCGCAGGCCCCGCGTGTCCCGGCCGGGCCCCCGGAGCGCTGCTCCACCGCTGAGCCGCGGAAGCTGAGCCGCACGCCCAAGTGCGCGCGCTGTCGCAACCACGGCGTGGTGTCCTGTCTGAAGGGCCACAAGCGCTTTTGCCGCTGGCGCGATTGCCAGTGCGCCAACTGCCTGCTGGTGGTGGAGCGGCAGCGCGTCATGGCCGCCCAGGTGGCGCTCCGGAGGCAGCAGGCCACCGAGGTGCGTACGTAGGGCCCCAGGCACCGCGCTGGGGGCCGGGAGCCCGAGGCGTCGCCGCTGCGCCCACCAACCCGGCCATTACGGAAAGGTGGCTAGGATGCTGCTCCCTTGGCCCGCACTGGCCGCCGTGGCCGGAAGGGAAGAAGCTGTGGCTTTGGTGGGGAGTCGGCAGAAAAGACTGGTTTAAAAAGGAGACCGAGAGACCTGGAAAGTGGTTAGATCTGTTCGAAAAGTCACTCAGTTTTTAGTTTTTTATCTTAAAACGTTTATTTTGGCGGCCTAACTGGGGGACAGTGAATGAGCCGGCGCACGGCGTCCAGTATCATGCCGGTCACTGCCTTACTGGTGCTGGTGGCACAAAGGAACCGCGCGGCAAAGAGCACACACGGTGCTTCCGGGGTCGCAGGACCCTTTGAGAGAGTGGAACTAGGTGCCCATTTTACAGATGAGACAAACAGTGGAGTGGGAAAGGAGGGGCCCAGCAGTCCAAGGCCACGCAACCAGAGTCCTCCGTTTCCGGTGAACGACCTAAAGACCTGGCGCTAGCTGTGGGGAGAACCGGGTTTCTTTAAGGGCGAGGTTCTTATTGAACCTTTGTTTCCATGCTCCGAGCTCAGCGAGGGAGGTTTCGGAGGTGTCCTCCAGATGCGGCCTTGGGGGGATTTGTAAGTTTGCTTTTTGGCGGAGCGGGTACTGCAATACAGCAAGCAGCAAAGACAGTGACCCCAAAGGAAAGGCCCTCCCCCCGCGGGCCCCAGAGAGCGCACTAGACGCCCAGGCGGCCGGGTCCAGTCTCCCCCAGTATTCCGCGTTGGGGCCGCCGGCCCAATGTTCCTGCTAGACGCGGGCGTGGCAGGGCCCGGAAACCCACCGACCTGGCGGTGACAACTGGGGCGGGAGGCGTCACCTTGTCCAGCCTCCCAAGGAGACCCCGACGGTTCGTTCGTTTTCTTGCATCCCAGTCGCCTGGTGCCGTTTGTGGGCAAGCTGGGCCAGGGAGAAGCTGAGCGAGAAGTCGTCGTATTTCCTCCCGCGACCTCTCGCAGTTTCACTCCAGTCTACCTGCCCCACTTAGGGAGAAACCAGCGCCGCTGCACAGACCAACTGCAGGCTCAGGGCACCTTGAGTTCCTCTGTGGGGCCGAGGCCGAGGCTGTTGCCGCCGCCTCCACTGTGGATTGACCTCTGCATAGCGTGTCCCAACATCCTGGCCACAAGCTCTCAGCTCGAAGAGCCTGCGGTGACTCTAGTATAACCGCTGAGAGAAAGGGGGATGGTGCTGCTCAAGCCTCCAGCTCCTTGCCCCGAGGCGAGAGATGCCCAAAATAATTCATTTTTGAATCTTTGTCACCCGGGGCGGGGAATACAGCTTGACCCGTGGGAATTTCGAGAATCTTTGCGCACGCCTCTTCTAACCCACATTTTCTTGTGGACATTACTGATGTTTCTGTGTTTACAGGACAAGAAGGGACTCTCTGGGAAACAGAATAATTTCGAGCGCAAAGCCGTGTACCAGAGACAAGTCAGGGCGCCCAGTTTACTGGCCAAAAGCATTCTAGAAGGTAAAGCAACCCAAACGGATCCTTTTACCGCTTAAGCTGAGTTCTGCGTGTTTGGAGTTATTCAGATGCAAGACATCTTTATCGACCTGTGAAGGAGCTACCCGAGGGTAGCTAAATAACTAATATTTTTATTAGAAAGGCAGCCTTTAGGAAGGAAATCAGAACCTGGGAAAATAATCTCACATACCTGTTTAGGAGTTTGCCACCATCAGTTGAAAAATCCTGATAATGTTGTGTGTTTAATAGTTAAATGGGTTAATATGGAGTGTATGTGAAATTTGCCCCAGAGTGTAGGGTGTTCAAAGTAAACTGCCAATGACTGGAGCAGATGTTCTGGAAGGAAATAAAAACAGAAAACAAAACCTTCCTTAGTTGTAGCTGGAGTTAAGTGAGGAGTTTAACCCATGTGAAACCCTTTTGTCCTGGTGATTCATTATCAAATCCACTCTGCTTCATTTTACTGTTTTCATTTCCTCCCTGGCTTATCTAGAGAACTGCCAGCATTCAACGCTGCATTTTAATATTTTTGGCAGTCCTGGTCTGAAAATCCTAAAAAGGTTTTGAATCAGACAGTGGTGTCACTTAGGGTGATGTCACCTAATGTGGTAACTCATGGTGTCAACGCCCCCCAGGCTTTCTTCTGTACCAGACCATGCAGAATCCTTAGTAATGTTGATCAATTTTAATCACAGAATTACATGTGATATAGTTGTTGTTATGTATGTTATGTTATGTATGTTACAACTCATAGCAACCCCTCCTTGGGTTTCTGAGGCGGTATCACTACAGAAGTAGATTGCCCAACCTTCCTTCCTAGGAGTGGCTGGTGGGTTTGAACCACGAGCCTTCTGGTTAGCAATCAAGTGATATAGTTGTAGATTACTTAAATGTAATATTTCTTAGATTACATGAATACTAATAATGAAATCTTTTGACACTGAATTACATTATCCGTAACTGAGCAGAAGCCTTTTTTGATTTTTCTCCTTCTTTTCCTTTAATTACAAAAAAGTTATTGATGTAGGTTCACAAATACTACTGTCCCCAATACCGTAGCAAAAACACCAAAAAAAATTTGGCAAAATCAGTGACTGTAAAAATACTGGCAACAAACAACAGCATTGCTTGCAGACAGAACCACATGATTTGAAGCATCATTGTACTTGGGTAAAAATGACAGCTCTGTCCAGAGTGCATTAGAAGGTTCAAAAGGTAAATTAGCAGAGTTTTAGTCTTGTAAGTATATTGATACATGCAAGCTGGGCATATAAAAATACCTTTGTTGTTATAATTACATGGGTATTTTTATTAAAAAATACTATATTTGTGTTGACACAGCACAAAAAGTTTAGAGAGAGTCATTTTGGTGTCACTTGAGAGTGTCACCTGCTGTGGTCTGCACTCCCTGCACCCCACAGCGACACTGCTGGAATCACAGAAGCAAAGTGGAGGTTGAGCTTGACCAGCGTGAGGTCTCTCGCTCTTCTTACATTTTCATTTTCTTTAAAACCAGGGGATATCTTAATTGTTCTTAAAATATTACTGATGGTATAATCTATTTGGACATGGAATTTACCTGTTGATCTGCTAAATGATATACTAATATATATACTACATTAAATGTATTTCACCATTTAAATAAAAGGAACACTTATATTTTCTCTAATTACTGCCATTTCATCAAATTTAGGTTGAAAAGTAGCATTTTTCTAAAAGTAAGTCTTTTGGGTTCTGTTTGTTCCTTGTGTGATTTCTGAACTGAGTTGGTTCTGGGCAGGTTTTTACGTTAGTTTTTGTCTCACACGGTGCTTGTGTGCTTATAACCTTAGAGTGGTTTTGCATGCATTAAAAATGAATTTGGTTACAAACTGGGTAAACAGATTTATAACCATAGGGACCATGTTGATAAATTGAAATCATGCCAAAACAACTTGAGAAGTGGGAGGAGGAAATAGAATCATAAATTCAAGTAAATAACTTCCTGGCAAAATTTACCATAGAAATGGAAACATTATTTTAAAAATTGTGTTTAATTTGCAAATGAGTCCAATGGGTTTGTCACTATATAAATATAAATATCACAATTGATCCTCCAAACAAATAGTGCCCAGTGCCTTGGGGATGATGAAATACTCAAAGTGTTTTATGCTAGCAGGAATTCTATTTATGTTACACTGATCTTTGTTTTTGAATTTGTCCCTGTTCATAAAATATGTGATAACTTTGGGTTCTAAATGCTGCCTGTTCAACCATTTTGGTATCTGGCCAACATGATTAAGGCTTGAGAAAAATGTTTTAGGCCAGTTATTTTCAATGTAACAGGGAATTATTCTCTCTTCCCACCTTTGTTTGTACTGGTAGTTAGGGGAAGGGGCCTGGTTAAATGGTTCATTGCAGAGTGTGTTTGACTCTAGTTAATAGTTCTTTTAAATTTTCTATGCTTTTCTGTTTCTTTAAGTCTTTTTTTCTTCTGCTAATCTGCTTTAACTTACTTTCTCTCTCTTTTTTCCTAGTTCTCCTTGGATTATTCTACACCTGTAACAATGTGTACATAATGAGCCACCTTTAGAAAATAAAAGTGACCTCAGCTCTAGGTATAGATATCTTTTTGAATAGTGGAAAAAGAATGACACGGGTTGCAATAAACCATTGAGTGAAGCAAGATGAGCAGCCTTCTCTCTTAGTGTTCAGGGGCCTGGGATGAATACGCTAATTTCAGTTAGTAAAGTAAGGCTGTCAAAGCAAACAGACTTATCACAACAACGACAAAGTTACAATATGGATCAACCTTCCTCCCAAAGGAAATTATTTTAAGTTGAATTTACAGCTATACTTTTGTGTTCTTTATGATAATTTTAACTATAAACCAAACCAAACTAAACCTAGCCTCTTGCCATTGAGTCAGCCCCTGACTTATAGTGACCCCAGGTGGTACAGAGTAGACCTACTCTGTAGGGTTTCTTAGCTGGAATCTTAATGGAGCAGATTGCCAGGCCTTTCTTCCACTGTGCTTCTGGGTGGGTTCGAACTGCTGATCTTTTGGTTAGTAGCTGGGAACAAACCATTTGCGCCACCTGGGACCTTCATGTTGGTGACATAGAGTTATAGATCATTGTTCTGCTGATCTGTGGTGTTTCTGTTGCTTTATGAATTGACAGGATTTTCCTCCCCTCACTCTAGGGTACCGCCCCATTCCTGCGGAGACTTACTTAGGAGGGACCTCGACTCTACCTCCCCCTGTAAGTGACAGGATGAGGAAAAGACGGGCTTTTGCTGATAAAGAGCTGGAGAACATCATGTTGGAGAGAGAATACAAAGAGAGGGAGATGCTGGAAGCTTCCCAAACTGCTGCTTTGTTCCTGCCCAACCGCTTGGTACATGGTCCTGAATATAACTCCTACAAAAACGCCTACACCCCCAACCCCATGGAGCCCCCAAGCAAAGACTTTTGCAACTTCTTGCCCACCTGCCTTGATCTAACCATGCAGTATTCTGGGTCTGGGAACATGGAAGTCATTTCTTCCAATGTCAGTGTGGCCACGACTTACAGACAATACCCCGTGTCCTCCAGATTTTTAGTTTGGCCCAAGTGTGGCCCCATTAGTGACAGTCTCCTCTATCAGCAATGCCTGCTGAACGCCACCACCTCAGTGCAATCCCTGAGACCTGGGGTGGGCTGGGACCCAAAGGGAACACGCCTCCCAGATGCTCTCGGCACTGAACATGACATGATGTCCGCCAAAATGGCAGGGCCCCTGCTGCCCCCCATGCCCGAGGTCCCTGCCACGAGAAATGACCCGCAGGGCCACCAGGCAGCACCCGAGAGGTCCGCGTTCTCCCCACCCCGAGGGAATTTCTCTCCCGTGGTTGACACAGACTCCCTGGCTGCTCCAGGGCCTGTCTTAACGAAGATCAGCAAAGAAAGCGGCAGGCACCCTCTGCCACTTAAACATAATCCTTTCCACTCATTGTTCCAGCAAACGCTTCATGACAAATCAGGGCCTGAGTCAAAAACACCATTTGTCAAGGAAGTCTTGGAGGAGGTCCCTAAGAAGCATCGAGAGTGTTCAGTCAAGGAGAACCAGAAGTACACGTTTACAATAGACAGATGTGTCAAAGACCTTTTCGTAGCCAAGCAAGTTGGAACAAAACTCTCCGTGAATGAACCATTGTCATTTTCTGTTGAGTCTATTCTGAAGAGGCCTCCCTCAGCCATTACTCACGTCTCCCAGTGAAAGCCCGTGAGAACAGAAAGCTGGGATTTCTCCCGTCTCCCAGGTTTCTTGCCATTCACTCATTTTTTTTTTTTTTTAACCAAAGATGTTTGTATAAAGAAAATTTTAGTAAATGATGATGATTTAAAAAAAAATTCTCCATATTCATATACATGTACTTTTTCCTCACCCCATAAATCTATTGAAAAGTAAAGATGGAAATTGCTTATGTGCAAATGAGAAAGTTCCAGGCTTTACATGGCATTTCAGAGAGCAATAAATTTGACTGACCCTGTCTTCTCAAGGACCTGGTATTTGCTGAAGTCAGTGCTTGTGTAGCTATCACTATTAATCCATTTAAAAATTTTTCTCTCACCCTTAGCAGTGACTCTGTATTTTTAAGTGTCCTTAATTTAATAGTTTGGTAAGGAGCTCTGGTGGTACAGTGCCTCAGGCATTTGACTGCTAATCAAAAGGTTGGCAGTTCAAACCCACCAGGCACTCCTGGAGGAAAGATGAGGCAATCTACTTCTACAAAGATTTACAGAGTTGGAATCTACTCAGTGGCAGTGGGTTCGGTTTGGTTTTGGTTTTAAGGGTTAGGTGGTTTGAGTAGAAATCAACCCTTTGGCACCTAACACCAATAACCAATGAACAGGACGGGGAGGGGCACACATGAAAACACTTCTGAGGGTTGGAAGGCATGTAAATCCCACTATTTAAGACTGAGGCAAAGATAGCTTTGAGAAAGGTGGTAGAGTTTACTTGTATGCTAATAGAATGTTAATTTCATATTCTTGGATAAAGTTGAATTAATTGGCAGGGAAATCAAGTTTAATATGTCACTTATGTGATAACTTGGGTTCTTGAATATCTTTTAATGCCTGGGACCCAGTTTCTTTTCCCTGGTGGGAGGAGTATGTGGATCTCAAGATCTGTTTCCATGTTGAGGCCCTGGTTTTAGATTGTTGGGTTATGGAGTCCTCGATTGTGGAAACAGTTTTATGTTTGACTACTATCCAAAAGGTTGGCAGTTCAAATCCACCCAGTGGTGCCTCAGAAGAGAGGCCTGGTGATCCACTTCCATAGATGATAGTCATGGAAAACCTGGTGGAGCACAGTTCTACTCTGACACACATTGGTCACCATGAGTTGGAGTCACCTGGACGGCATTGGTTAGGGGGTCAGAGAGCAGTAGCTTTGCAAGTTAAAACCATGATGGCACACAGTCCCTCTCTGAGGCTTAGCTCTTGTGTTCACAGATTTCCTTAAAATGGATGATAACTAGCATTCAGGCACAGTCGCAGCTCAGGTGGTCTCTGGGTACCATTGACTCAGTGATGCTTTATGTCTCCCCCATTTTCAATCAACATCCAAGGCTTTCAGTGTAGCGCCTTCGGAGCTAAAAAGCATTTATTCAAATTGCTTCCACTGACAGTTGCTGAAGCCTGCAGATGGTTATCACAGAGTGAGGGTGATTCTGAATTATGTCCCTTCTGTTTTATTTTTGGTTTAAAACAACAGACATTTATTCTCTCAAAGTTCTGGAGACTATAAATCTGGAATCGAGGTGTCAGCAGGGCCTTGTTCCTGCAAAGTCTCAAGGGGAAAACCCTCCCTTACCTCTTCCCAGCTGCTGCTGGTTGTTGGCCATCCTTGGCATTCCTTGGCTTGTAGGTGCATCTTCCAACTGCATATGATTTTCTGTGTGTGTGTGTGTGTGTGTGTCTATCTACAAATCTCTCTTTCCTTATAAAGACAATAGCCATTGGATTTGGGGCCCACCCTAATCCAGTATAACATCATCTTGATCACAATTTGCAAAGACCCTATTTCTGAATAAGGTCCCCTGTCTTTAGGTTCAAGGAGCTCAGGTGGTTAAGGCACTCAGCTGCTAATCAGAAGTCAGCAGTTTGAACCCACCAGCTGCTCCGTAAGAGAAAGATGAGGCAGTCCACTTCATGGGGGAGTTCTACTTTGTCTTCTAGGGTCACTATGAGTTGGAATCAGCTTGATGGCAGTGGGTTTGGTTTGTTTTGTAAGATCAAGAGTCCTTGGGTGGGGCAAACAGTTAATGCACTCAGCTGCTAACAGAGAGGTGGGAAGTTTGACACTACCTAGAGGTGCCTCAGAAGAAAGGGCTGGTGATCTACTTAAAAAAAATCAGCGGTTGAAAACTCTATGGAGCACAGTTCTACTCTGACTCAGCGGGATTGCCACGAGTCAGAATTGACTCCACAGCAACATGTTTTGGTTTCTCAGCTCACTGTTTACTGTCTTGTTTTGCTCAACAAATATCAACTGCTATTTTATGATTGATCAAACGAGAGTAAGATATTTATGAGCATACTGAGTCTATCCCTTAAAATCTCCCACACAGACCCCACATCGAGTTCTAAGCTGTTATAATCAGCTCAATTCAGAAAATCAAGGGCCCAAAATCTTAATTTTCATTTTTGTAGAGGGAGGTTTCACTCCCAACTCCACTTTCAGCTCAGTAGTAAGAAAACCAGGTGGGAGGGTGCAAGGTGATGGACCAAGTGATTCAGCAGTTTAAGGAGTTGCTTTCTTGCTCTTGCAAACGTTTCAAATGATTAAAAAACCAATGTTGCTACCGATCAACCCATGGAAACCTCCGGGGATTCTCCGAACCTTTGCTCGAAATTAGCATCTATTTCAAAAACAACAAGACAAACCTTCGCTTGATTTTCGGTTTGTACTTGTAAAGTAATCCTTGTTTGTGTTGAGTCAAATGTACTGATTTCTACCATTGGAAAAGCCAGAGCAAATGGACATTTGCCAGGAGAAAAGAAAATGAAAGCAGGCAGAGAGCTCAACATCTGATCTCAGTAACTGTCGAAGATGAAGTGGAAAAAATGTTTTTCAGCTGAATGTGTCCTGCTGTCAGATTGAATCTAACTGCAGTTTTCTCTCCCAGTCTTATTCAGTCAGTATCATTATTTTTTCTTCATATCAGGATTTGCTTGGTTATGTATTAAATGCAAATTTAGCGTGTGATTAAATTCAGAGGCAATGGAGAAAAACACATTAGAATAAAATAATCTCAAAAAATCTTAATCAGAAAATTTTCTTAATCCAAGTATGGGTTATCTTGCCTTCCTCTTCTGTTTTAAAATCAGAACCAAACTCACTGCCATCAAGTCAATTCTGACTCATAGCAACCCTCATAGGGTTTCCAAGGCTGTAAATCTTTACAGAAGCAGACTGCCTTGTCTTTCTTCTGTGGAGCAGCTGGTGGGTTAGAACCACCAACCTTTTGGTTAGCAGCCAAATGCTTTAACCGTTACACCAGAGCTCCTTACTCTTAGTCTAGCATTAGTATTTTGAATAATTATGTTTGTCGATTTTCCCCTTTTGATTTCAGTGAACTTTTGGGGACTTACTTTCTGTCCTCTCCATCATTTTAATCCCATTAGGTAAATCCAGTTAGTTGGCTGTATTACTGGCTTTCCTCATGTTACTGTGACTGGAATTTTATTGTTCTTAAACATTTATGAGTGTCAGTGCTTTCCCTGCCTTACCTGTATAGCATCAAATTGACAACAGCAACTGAAAAGGTTAGATAGGTAGATAGGAACCGTAGGGGGAAGTGAGCTGAGGTTAATGGCAGAGGAACAACTCAGAGGAGGGTGAGGATGGTTGTACAACTCAAAGAATATTATCTGGGCCAGGCCACTGAATTGTAAACATAGAAACTGTTGCACTGGTGTATGTTTTCTGTGTATAGTTTCACTACAAACAACAAAAGCAATAGTTTTTTAAAAGTTAAAAAATACATAACACAGCCTTTGCCAGTTTAACATTTTTTACATGTATAATTCAGTGACACCAATTACATTTTATTCATTTCCATAAAAGCTATTATTTGACTACAGAGATTCTTTTTGAATTTTTTTTAACTGTGCTTTGGGTGAAAGTTTACAGAGCAAATCAGTTTCCCATTCAATGATTTATACACATTTTGTTTTGACTATAGAGATTCTTCAAAGAACAAACACTCATTGACATATTAACTCAGATTTGTGCTTCAATTTAAGGATTTTCTATGTTCAAGGGAATAAAGTGATTCAGCATTAATCATTGCTAGAACAGAAAGAACAGTAAAACACAGACCTTTTCCTCAATTTAACTTACCATAAAATAAAGCAGCTTCAAGAACACATTTTCTTTCCATCTCAACTGGTCAGGCATCATTGCTTTGTCCTCCAGTTAAGGTTCTTGGTAGTTGACAATAGTGCTTCTAATACTTTAATGGGCAGCTGATCACCATCACCTGGGAATCTCAGTAAACTGCAGACTCTGAGCCAGTAGGTCTGGGATGGGCCTGAGTTTGTGACTCCCTAACAAGTTCCCAGGTGATGCCAATGCTACTGGTCTTGAGACCACACTTTGCGAAGCAACTGTTTTCAAACTTTCTATTATTTTAACGAACATATGATATAATCAGCTGTGGATTTTGGGTTTGAATACCATGGTATTAGCATGAATAACAATATACATGAATAGTTAAAATGTAATTTCCCTTTCGTCCAACCTTTGGTGGCAGAAGTAGGAGAAGACTTTGGCAAAGTCATGGCAAAGTTTGCTCCTCTCTCTTCCTGATTACACCTTGTTCCTGTTTTCAGGAACTGAGCTTTCTCAACTACATCCCTCCCATTAGACCCTCATCCTACAGCCCCTACTGGGTAGACTTTCCGCTCCTACAAGAAAGACTCTGATATGAGTCATACAGCTTATAATGAGTGAGCGTGCTATGGGAACACCTGCATTTTAAAGCTTAACTACAATTAGGGAATAAAAACCTGTAACTTCTTGTTATGGATTGAATCATATCCCCTAAATATGTATTGGAATCCTAACCCCTCTGCTTGTGGATGCGATCCCATTTGGGAATAGGACTTTATTAAGTTAATGATACCATATCAGTATAGGGTGTGTCCTAAACCCGATTACTTGTGAGTTACAAGGAAAAGCACAGACACAGAGACGAGAGAGCTCTA